TCAAATACATCTCAAACCCTAAATCTGTCTCTTATTATGATTTCGCCTCAAATAACACTTAACTGCGAAGCGTTTCCATTCAAACACTACTACTCTATGCTATGTGTTGTAAATGTGTGTCAAATGTTGTGAACCTATGTTTAGCACAATATTTCGTATAAAATTGTTTAGTCGTAACGTTATATACGACTGGAATATACATTCACTTATACCTCGGTATTAATACATATCCTATTATTTCACTATTAAGTCAATTGTATCCATATTTTCTATTAAATATACTTTGTTTCCGTATAGATATTTAATTAAACAATTTTATACCATGTTTATTTGGTAATGGACTAGTGATTTGAGCGATTGTAATAATCAATATGTTTCACTCAAATACAGTGCAATAAAATTGCAGTCAAATTGCATACAATATTCACAAATTATTGTTTCAACACTAGACTAGATATAGCCGTAAGAAAGGGTGTAATTACATGTTATTGAGGGCTATATTATGTATGCAATATACAAATACACGCATATCTGGGTTGACCAAAGCGATTAGAAATGACCATCATTGCAATTGTGGTACACTATAACGGGTACATCAATATTAATACTATAAAGCAGTACACAATACACAGCCTGTGCTGACATCCCATCCCATAAAGAGCTCAACTCTTAGCACATGTTTAGGCATTGCGTGAGAAATATAATGGTATTAAATGTTTACAAGATTTGAAACTTTAATTCACTGTTTGAGAGAAATTACAACAAAAACGGATTGAAATCAAGTTTTTGTTATAATATAATCGTTTGTTTTATATGTTGTAAACATAATTAAGTGTTAATACAAATTATATGTCATAGAAATGATGTCATCGACGATCAGTCGCTCATTAAATATAGTGAAACACAGCAATCGATGCATACAATTGTCGTGTATATCACACAATGCGCTCAATATTAACCTCAAACACAATCATCTGTTAATCAAAAGCCATTTACCGGTCGTTCAGCGCATCGCTAACCGATGTATAGATCCATACATTTTGATTGAATCGCTAATTATGTTAATGTAATGCTTGTCTCGTCTATTGTGTCAGATCTGTGTTCAAACACGTGGTCACCGGTTGTCGACTCACTGCAGGACAAGCGGTCAGTACTCACTGACGACACCTTTCAACGCGCTGTAAGTCCAACACTAGTGTTGTATTGAATGCATTGTCGCAACAATTTGTGTGCATTTTTCTCAAACATTTTTCTCTCATTTCTCGCGCTTTGACTGCAAACCAAACGATCGAACGATTCGTTCAATCATTCGTTGCATTCATCGATTGACTCAACCATTGATTGTGTGTCGAAAACAATGAAGACATCGGAAGACAGCGTACAAGTGGTGAACGAAATGACGGCTAATATGACGGCCGACACGACCCGAACCAAAGGCCACAACACCGCCGACTCGGAGGCCGTCAAACAGTTCTGGAAACGACACGACATCGGAGTCCACGGACGCGACGCTCCGCTACCCATACTTGACATGAATGGCTACGACTGGCCGCCAGAGATCAGACAGGCTCTGGAGGCGGACGGCTTCGCGGAGCCCACGCCCATCCAGTGTCAGGGCTGGCCAGTGGTGCTCTCGGGTCGCGATATGGTCGGAGTGGCGCAGACCGGCTCCGGGAAGACCCTGTGCTATGTGTTGCCGGCGTTCGTCAAGTTGGCCACCGATGGCACCCAACGCGGACCCAAGTGTCTGGTTCTGGCGCCCACTCGCGAGTTGGCCCAACAGATCCAGTCGGTGGTGCGGAGGTATAAGTTCGCGAACAGCGTGTGTCTCTATGGCGGCGCGTCTCGCATACCGCAGATGCAGGCGCTCCGCACTTATAACCCGCAGATAGTGATCGCAACGCCCGGCCGTCTCAACGACTTCGTGGAGAGCTCTGCCATCGACCTGAAGACAGTCGACTATCTGGTTCTGGACGAAGCGGACCGTATGCTTGACATGGGTTTTGAGCCGCAGATCCGCAGCATTATTGACGAAATACCGGCCGAACGCCAGACAGTGATGTGGTCCGCGACGTGGCCTCAAGAGGTGAAGTCATTGGCCGCCCATTACATGAAAGACTACATTCAGATCAATGTCGGCGGCAGTGATCTGACGGCCAA